TATTAAGGTATTACAAATGTGTCCTCATCCCCCCCATTAACCCTCAACCTCCCCCCCACACACACACTCATGCTCCCATCCCCCTGTTGTCCAGGTCCATTGGTTTGGCTTATTTACATGTATACAAGTCCTTCGGTTGATCTCTTCCCCTTACCCCCGCCCTCCCCTACTTCCCTTCTGGGGATTGATAGCCTGATTGCTGTTTCTCAGTCTTTGGGTCTGTCTCTTTTCATCAGTCTATGTTCTTCATTATAATCCACAAATGAGTGAGATCATTTCTCTTTCTCTGACTGATTTATTTCACTTAGCATAATGCTCTCTAGCTCCTTCCATGCTGTTGCAAATGGTAGGATTTATAGGATGATAAATATCTACTTTCCTGTGTTCCAATTTGTAATCAATGAACTGATCCTTTTTCATTTGTGCTTGTTCATTCATACTCTAATCACCAAATGTTCTGTCTGCATAAGGATACTTACCGATGAGCTGGGATTCGGAGGTGTCCAACAATGAGGAACACATCACAGAGTTGTTTCTCTTTCAGGTAGTTCTGCATTTTATGGAGAGTTTTCTCTGCATGGTTTACAGCATGGAACTCCTCCTCAGGTATGCTGAGGTTCATTTCTTCAGGATTTTGTGTATGTAATCTGAAAGGGGGATAAGAGTGAGAATATGGTTTATTCTCCTAGTGAGTGTCTAATGTAGAGTGGAAATTTAGGCACATCAACTTCTAAAAGAAACATTTTGGAATACAGTAAACTAAACTTTTCACTCTGATTCTCAATAATTTTCTATGATTGTTGCCTAATCTTCCATTCAAGTAAAGTGATGGTGTTTATATCAGGAATTGAACCATACTATGTATGGTGCAGCTGCAGGGCTAGTATTAATTGTCATATACACAAGCATAAACTTCAAAATGCTAGCATATATCTTTAATTTTTGTTGGTATTACAATAATGACATTAGGCATGATATTGTAGGCAGGATTCACAATATTTTTCAGATTTGATTATAACCTGAAGCTTCTTCATGGTGTACTCATTAAAAATTAGAAGTATTTCTTGTATAATCTTAAGCTTTAGAGTTCCATGACATTCTTTATAATATGTCAAACCTCTCAACAAAATATAAATATTTCCATCTTTTATATTTCTTTACCAGCTTTATTGATATATGATTAATATACAAAAGCATGTAAGATTATTTTACTTTTTATATACCCCTTTTATTCCTCATGTGAGGACATGCAGAGAGAGAGAGAGAGAAAGAGAGAGAGAGAGAGAGAGAGAGAGAGAGAGAGAGAGAGAGAGAGAGAGAGAGAGAGACTGATGTGATAGAATCATCGACTGGTTGTCTTCTATAGGTGCCCCAACTGGGAAGCGAATCCAAAAGCCAGATATGTGCCCTGACCAGAAATTGAACCAACAACCTATTGGTGCACAAGATGATGGTCAGCCAACTGAGCCACTCCTGGCTGGGCAACATTGTGTAAGTTTAAGGTATACAACATGATGATTTCATATGCCTAGATAGTGTGAAATGATTACCACAATGAGATTAAAATATCCATAAGCTCACATAGTTACCATTTTGTGTACACATGATAAGAACATTTAAATTCAACTCTTATAGCAATTTTCAAGTATATAATACAGTACTATTAACTAGTCACAATTCTGTATATTGGAATCCCCAAATTAAGTTATTCATCTTCTAACTGGAACTTTGTAACCTTTGAGTATTTAGAAGAATATGATAACTGTTGATTTTACAACATTGAAATATGTTGATGTGTCTTTTCAACATCACAAAATGGTAGATTTAAATACTAACACAAGCACATAGAAATTTACAACCAGTGGAATCTTAGAAATTTGACGGTTGGATGAGCATGCTTACATACTTTGCTTGTCACCTTTCTGGCTTCCATGCATCATTTTCCAACCACCAGACAGGATTAGTTTTATGTTCTTTCTCCAACAACTTGGCCTGTGTTGTTGGTTGTTGTTTTTTTAAGACAATTGGTCCAGGGTAGCATTATTCTTTTTTACTTTTTAATTCAAATAAAAAATTCACCTCTGAATCTTCTTAACCTTTAAAGACTCTGAGATATTCAGCCACAATATTGGTTGGCTAATCAGGGTAGGATGATATAAATTTTCTTTAAAATTACCTGCTACAAAATGCACTTGTTTATTTTCTATGCCTCTCTCTTTTTGTGCTATCTGTCCCTTATTTCCAGTTCCCCAAATGCCCTATGGCTTCACACTGCTCCATGGTGACCCAAGATCCCCTACTTTGACCCTCTCCATCAAATAAGAAGGGCCCTGGACTTCCCTATGAACTAAAATTTTCCCTGCTCTGTCTCCTGCTCATCATAATTCTCAGCCCTCAAATGGTTCCATGGATCTGGAAGTACACTGGAGAGGTTAAGAACTTACAACAGCATGAATTAGTTACCTCTTGTAAGAAGTTTAGTATTTTAACAAAAATAACTAAATCCAAATGTTTGTACCTCTAATGGTGTTAGATTTGTCAGGCACACCAGAAAGCTAGGGATGAGATTTTCCCTTTTAAAGCCAAATAACTTAAATCAACAAAGGAGAAGTGCTGGTGAGGATGTGGAGCAAAAGGAACCCTCGTGCACTGCTGGTGGGAATGCAGACTGGTGCAGCCACTGTGGAGAAGAGTGTGGCGTTTCCTCAAAAAACTAAAAATGGAACTCCCATTTGACCTAGTGATCCCACTTCTAGGAATATATCCCAAGAAACTAGAAACACCAGTCAGAAAGGACATATGCACCCTTATGTTCATAACAGCACAATTTACAATAGCGGAGGGGGGGGGTATGGGGGAGAGATCAACCAAAGGACTTGTATGCATGCATAGAAGTCTAACCAATGGACACAGACACCAGGGCGGTGAGGGCATGAGTTGGGATGTGGGGGGCAATGGGGTGATAAGGACACACATGTAATACCTTAATTAATAAAGAAAAAAAAAAGTCCAAAAGACTGAGAAAAAAAAAGCCAAAAAACTTAAAATAAAAACATGAGTCCTAGCGCAGGCTCTGCTGCTAGTTGACTATGTGATTTTGTACAAGTCATTTATTTTCTATGAGCATAGGTTTTCCTTTCTTAAAAACTGAATGGACTCCCGATCTTACAGCCCAAGTGTCCATCAGTAGATGAATGTATAAAAAGCTGTGGTACATTTACACGATGGAATACTATGCAGCTGTCCAGAAGAAGGATCATTTACCCTTTGAGACAGCATGGAGAGACCTGGAGAGCATTATGCTAAGTGAAATAAGCCAGTCAGAGAAATATGGAACAAGTCTTTGAAAAAAAGCTCAGCATAAAGATTTGAGGTCTTCTCGGGTCTTTTCTGGGTATGGATTTTCTGTGGGCTTACATGTGTGCTTTACCCCACTATCTTTCATATACATGGCTGGAGATTATATATCTTAATTTCTTTAAATCTCACTTCTATTTCTCTTGTGATCCCTAGATATTCTATTGTATTCCTTTACCCATACTATTTTGTCTCCAGATGTTTACAAGTCTGCATTCCCATTGCAATTTTCATGTGTTTGATGCCTGCCATTGGATTCTGTGGCTTCCAATCTGAGATACAAACTATACTACCATTCTCATCTGAGCTATAAGTTAGGTAAATCAATGGTGCCCCTCCCTTATCAGCAGGGGATACAGTGGATGCTAGAAACTGTGGATAGTAGCAAAACCTATACATACTATTTTTCCTATACATACATACATACATACATACATACATACCTATGATAAATTTAATTTTAAACTAGGTACAGTAAGAAATAAACAACAAAATTAATAGTAAATTATAACAGTAAACTTTAATAAAAGTTATGTGAATATGAACTCTGTGTCCCAAAATATATTATTGTACTGCACTCATCCTTCTTCTTGTGCTGATATGAGATGGTAAAATGCCAAACTTATTCATGAATCTGCATAGCCTTTCCTTACTTACAGTAAATGGCTTGATATCCCTTGTTTTAAGGCAGTGGTTGGCAAACTGTGGCTCTTTGGCCCCTTGATTGCGGCTCTTCCACAAAATACCCACTTCTGTACATGGGCCACGAAGTTTCAATCGCACTGTACATGCACGCCCACACGTGGTATTTTGTGGAAGAGCCACACTCAAGGGGCCAAAGAGCCGCATGTGGCTCGCGAGCTGCAGTTTGCCGACCACTGTTTTAAGGGACTCTCTGCTGAATTCTTTGCATAGGATCAATGCTTCCTGCCATCATAGGTTGCTGTCAATCACAACACATTTTCTGTTCATGTCTTCCACCCATTTAATGCATTTTCCATTTTAACTTAGCACTTATCATGCAGAGTCTGTGGCCTTAACTTTTGTAGTTAGAAGTATAATAGCCAACTAGCATAATCTTCTTTTTCTTTTTTAACTATTTCATTGATAGAACATTTGTTCTTATAGAACTTAGCAACCTCATCATACCATCTGTCCTTTTCTCAGTAAGTTGAGAATTTTCACATTTTTACTTAAAGAAAACACTATGCGGCTTCTCTTTAGCATAACTAAACTACCAGCATCATATCTCTTGCTCTTTGAGGCCATTATTAAGTAAAATAAGAGTACCTTGGTCACAAGCACTGCAATACCACAACAGTCAATCTGATAACTGAACAGGCTACTAAGTGACTAATGGGCAGGCAGTGTATACAGTGTGGATTCATTAGACAAAGGGACAATTCATGTTCTGGAGTGGAATGACATGAGATTTCAAAACACTACTCAGAATAGTGTGCAATTTAAAACTACTTAACTGTTTATTTTGGAAATTTTCCCATTTAGTATTTTTAGACCGTAGTTGACTGTGGGTAACTGAAACCACAGAAAGCAAACCTATGGATAAGGAAGGTTACTGTACTGAAATCAGTGTCTTGACTAACCCACAGTGAGACCAGAAAATGTTTCAAACAAGCTCCACTTTTTTCCTTGTATCCTGAAAAGAAACCAAAAGGTAAGTTGCCTTCCACCCAATATGCCATGTCACCCTTGGATGGGGATGGTACAAGAGCAAGCATAAATGCTATGAAATTTCCTCCCAATTTGAATGTGGCTTTTTCTTGGTTGGTCATTTGTTTGGTTGTTGTATATGTTATTTTACACAAAGTTATTTTAATCAGTCTGTAGTTGTTTATTTGATGTTCCCATGAAGGAATAAGGGTCTGGAGCATCTTAATCTGCCCTTGTGCTGACATAGCAGAAGCTACTGTTGTCTGGATTTATTTAATTTTAAATAAAATATTTGAGGTTCCTGTGTTTTTCTGAGTAGTAGTTTTGCTGCAAAACTATTTTGTAACAATTTTAATTTGAGAAAGAATAGAAGGAATTATCTCAATACATTGGTGAGATTATTAATTTTAACAGCCTCTTTGGAAGGCTAGTTGGCAATATAATACTGGATTATGCATACATGCACATAAATTCTTTAGTTAATCTCTCCCCCTTCCCTCTAAGATTCCTCAGTCTGTTGCATGCTTCTTCTATGCCTCCAGGAGTTGGGAGGAGGGAGTCAATGGGGGAAAATAAAAGGGAGATATCTGGAATACTTTCAACAAAAAGATAAAAAACA